GATCCTATCAGTTTGAGGACAGCAACTAATCTTTTGTTGGAGTTTCAGGATGATTATCTGGTCTCCTGCCATTGTCCCACCTGGCCTTGTAGCATGGGGTATATCATGCCACCAAGCTCAAACTCATGCGGTACAAAGTAAGCCAAAGGTTTCAACTGAAAACAGTAAATTCAAGGTACGAAATGTTATCCTAACTTTTTTTGCAGTTTTCTCCCGTGTATGGACTGTTGCATGAACAGTTGTATGTTCCATCGCCATTATCACTGCATTGTCCTCCATTCTGACAAGGATTCGATGAGCACGGATTCAACTCTGAAAAAAATAACTTCCGAAAATTATAATCTTAGTCAATCCAAATTTAACAGGCTGATTGCCCCGTGTGTTAAATCTTGCATTAACAGCTAAATGTTTCACTGCCGGACTAAGGTCTAATAGAGAATTTTTGGGTGAATTTGTTTGCGGAGTAGATTATACTATAACCTTGTCGAAACAGTGGCAGGTCTAGCAAAAACTCATCAACACACCTGTTGAACTATTTATGATTTGAACCTAGAGAAATGTCTCTGCTGATGATTAAGTATTACGGGCAGACAGACAAAAACAAACAAACAAATTTTTGCAACGCACCTAGGTACGGGTACCTGATAAAATAGTACCGCACACATACATATAAGCGACCCAACACTTTCAACTAAGAAAACGTCAAGATCGTTGGGAAAGTAACAATTGTTATTTTTTAATTCTTCATCAGAGAAAAAGAATAATTTTTTTTGGTAACAACAAAATGATTACTGGGACAAAAACAATAAACGACACCTGTTAGTTTCTGAGGGCAATAACTAGTCGTTTGGACTTTCAGAATGATTTTCTGGTCTCTTATCATGCTCCCACCTGTCCCTACAACGGGCATCTCATATTATTTAATATCAAGCTTAACTAAAACGCAGTGCTATAAATATTAAGTCAAAAGTCTTCACTGAAAACAGTAAATTCATGTATGAATATTTTATTAAAAAAATACTAACTTTCCTTGCAGTTTTCGCCCGTGTATGGATTTTTGCACGAACAGTTGTATGTTCCGTCGCCATTATCAAGGCAGTGTCCTCCATTTTGACAAGGATTTGGGGAGCAAGGGTTGAATACTGTCAACAGAAATAAACTCAGATTACTTTTACTAATAATATAAGTTATAAATAGAAGCTATTGCCACGAAGCCATATTATTTATTTCCATATTATCCATTGTAAATTTATAGATAAGGTTTTTCCTGAAAGTTACGACAATTATATTCACGGTTCCGTTGGACTTTTCGGAAAAGTGAAAAGGCGATTGATGTTAGTTTGAATTTTAGTCATTGCATTGGCCTTTAGGCTAAAATTTATAGGTTAGGCCTGTCACTGTTGGCTAAGTGACTTTCTTGGACCGAGTTCTTAGACATTCCACTCGGCTTGCATGTAGACCTTATATATCCTTCTGCATGGGCTCAGAAGCGTGTAGGTAAGCATATTTTATTAACCGACTATTAAGTAGAAGCTAGGAAAGTAGAAACCTGAGTTGAAAGTGATGATAAACCTTTTACAATTCTACATATCTGAAATACTAACTTTCCTGGCAGTTGTCTCCCGTGTATGGACTCTTGCAAGAACAGTTGTATGTTCCGTCGCCATTATCACGGCAGTATCCTCCGTTTTGACAAGGATCCGATGAGCAAGGATTCACCTCTGCCAAAAATTAAATTCGAAAATTGAAATCATAGTCAAGAATTACTTTGACTAACTGATTGGATATTTTCTTTACTGTCAAAATATAAATTAACATTCACAGCTTTTCAGTTTTTCAATAAATTGACCTCGCCCCCAATGTGTGGCTTCATAGCTCAGTTGGTAGCGCAACGCACCGGCAACGCGGAGGCCACGGGTTCCAATCCCGTTGAAGCCCTGATTTTTTTTTTCAGGCTTCTTCTTTCCAATTGCTTAAATTGGAAAATTTACTGCTATGATCATTCTTCACTTTTTTATTTTTATTTTTAATTATCGGAAACTGAGACCTGTTACCATTAAATTCTATTTGTGATTTGTTTGAGTTGTTTTCCAGTAAGTATAATCTTCACTCCCCCTTTGCAAATGAGTGATATAGATCCATTGGACCCTCTTATTTGTAAAGACTTTCCAGGTGTCATGCTGCACGGTCCTTTTTTTACCTTATCATCACCTGGCCATATAATAGGTATATCAGCATCTTTATTATACCTTTATTTTCTTTTCCCATCTCAACGCGCGAGGCCTTGGTATCAGGAAATCATAAGCCACGGCTGAATAGGCTATTTAAGTACAAAGCATAAGCTATTTAATACTTACTTTCCTGGCAGTTTTTGCCCGTGTATAGCCTGTTGCACGAACAGTTGTATGTTCCGTCGCCATTATCAAGGCAGTGTCCTCCATTTTGACAAGGATTTGAGGAACAAGAATTAAAGACTGAAAAATAGAGAAAAAAATATACCATAACTTCTTCTTTTTATAACCTAACTGATAAATAAGTAGAAGCTATCGCACATGCACTCTCCATGTTACTTATTACCATTCTGTTATTAAACGTTCGCCCTCAACATGTTTCACCTTTAATTGCTAAAGTGACCCCCCTTCAAGGTATCCACCCCTGTATTCAACCCCCATAACATCGGGTAGTTCTTGAGATCGCCACTCACGTACTGCTGCTCTCTCTGCAGACACATCAGAGGTACTTAATTGGAGAAATATTTATTTCTAGCCAAATTTGACCAGTTTCAGGGGATTTGTGAACGAATATATGCTTGGAATGGTATTTTTTTTTCAGTGACTAGTTAGCAAAATCCTACTAGTTGCCTTTACAGGGGTAACCTCCCTTGCAGACGTTCTTAGGCTTTGTTACGCGTTCCTCATGAGGTGATTGCTAATGTCTAGTGCATCAAACTTGGTTCATGTGACAAGCTATATAGGCGTCAGGCCTAAACACCAGTGAGGCAGTAATCATTCTAACAACCCGTTTTATGTAAAGTTTGCGCTTACTTTCTTGACAGTGTTTTCCAATGAATGGGTTCCTGCAAGAACAACCATGTGTTCCGTTGCCATTATTGTTGCAGTATCCTCCGTTTTGACAAGGATTCGAGTAACAAGGATCAAAGACTGACAAATCAATCAAAGGAAACACAATTAAGAGAAGCGGCTATGCATGTGCAAAATTTTCTACCAATGCTTTCCTGTTCCTTGTTTAATTATTTGCCGGGGTCTTTTACTTTATATAGTTCTATTTGTAGTAGTGTACGGATGCTATTGTTTTGCTGCGATATTAGAGGTGTTAAAACAGTTTAAATAGTTTCTAAAAAAAAACGGAATCTGTGTTTGCTTGAGGTCAAGTGTTGATGGAGATTATGTTACTTTTTTCAGACCAAAGCAGCACCAAGAAGCAGCACCTTTTTTCTAACACATTGCCGACTCTTTAGTCGACTTAGGGCCTGTTTACATGTGGGTCGGGGGGGGGGGGGGGAAATAATCCCCCTTCCCTATAATTCCTCATTTTATTGGGGAATTTTTTTGAATTTTGGAAAAGACGGAAAGGGAGTCGTGGGGGGAAAGGGGAGAGCTTATGGGTGCGCGAGTCTCTCAAAAAAAAAAAGAAAACATAAACAAATAGCCAGAAAGGAGACATGTGCTATTGTTTTGTTTTTTGTGATTGTATAAGTAAGAATAAAATTAAAAAAAATTAAAAAAAATGTTGTGTTGTTTTTTGTGTTGTGTAGTGTTTGTTTGTGGATTTTTTTTTTTTTGTAAAACCGAAGGCACAAGAAGAAAGTCTTTTTTTTTTTTCTCACGCGTTCTGGTGGTTTTGGGGGTTTTTGGTCTGTTGTGGGGGGGGGGGGGGGGGGGGGGGGGGAATAATTCACCTGTCCATATAATCTCTCATTTTAATGGGATCATGTTTGCATGTTAGGTACCTGGGCCCCCACCTTCATATAAACAGACTCTTAAACTCATAGTGCTAACCTATTACGCCCACCCACAATATGTCCTTTTGTGTGTTTGCTTGCTATGAGCTCCACAGCCAACAACAACAACAACAACAACAACAACACTTTATTTCACCCCATAATCAAGAAATAAAAATTTATAACAATAGTACAGACGATGATAGGGGCGCTGGCTGCCCGAAATAACCTAAGAGTTAAAAATGCCAGGCAGCCGCAATGTGACAACACAAATTTGGGGAGGGTATTAACAGTACAGTCCGATGGCAGTCATGTTAGAGCTCGTTAGAAAATTTAAATTATGACTAACCATCCTGACAGTTCTCTCCAGTGAATCCACTTCGGCAAGAACAATTGTATCTTCCGTCATCCCCATTTTTGCATTCTCCTCCATTTTGACAGGGGATCGAGGAACAAGGACAACAGGAACTTGAATCTGAAAAATGTACGTCAGCAAAATTCAATCAAGGACAAACAAACCCAACAATTATGAGAATAAATATAATGGAAAGATTTTACCTTGATCTAACCCTTTGTCCATGCAAGAAAATTTTGTGAAATTGGCAAGGCCAATAAATTGCCTTGCCGCTAGGATGGTATACAATGGTGGAAGGGGTATCTGTCAGAATCAGCAAAAGAGATTAGGATTGGCCTCTTTTATATATTTTGTTAAATTTTGGTGTCAATCTATTGCCGTAAATAAAAACAGGTCGATGTAAAACATTTATTGAAGGCAATGTAAGCAATTTCTTAGTAAATATAACGTAAATAGATGCAGAGGACTTCGCTCCAACGAGAAGAATCTCTTAGAGAGTTTTATTTGACCTGCGACTTCCGCTACTAGCTTTGGTCATTAAACGCGCCACTTTAAGTCGTCGAAAATAGAGTGGAGTACAGTGCAGACAACTGAAACAAGATACTAAGACTGAAATTATATCTGCCTCCATTTTGCAGTCTAGTTTTGGCACTTACCTGTGTTGCCCAACCAACTAACACGCCTCTCGCATATATATCCACCTCTTCGTTTCGTACAGGGTAAGTCATTAAACAGTCCATAATACTTTCTATAATTCCTGTACATTTCAGTACATTCTCCATCACCACTGGGTTGGCTTGGTGACCAAGGAGTTCTTCCCCGAGACACATTTACTGAACTGTTGTTACTCAACCATAACCACCGTCCGGAACCTCGCTCCTTCATTAAACCGATGAAGTATTCACTCGCAGGGAAGCTTTGTATGACATTTTTCAAAGCGGTCCACTCGTCGCTGCTTTCCAATGAAACAAGGTCGCTCCCGAATTCCTTGCACAATCGGCGACTTTCGTCCCAACTAACCAGCTTTTTTTTCGATGCCACATGGAACGTGTAATTGGAACAGCCATAAATAAACGTGTGACCTATTAATAAAAAGGGCGAAATCATTCAAATAATTTTATTTCACGTGCAGTTAACAACGGTCCAGAAATGCTTTCCGTCCCTCGTTTTCATAAGAGGCATTGTTTGATAACAACAGCAATAATAATAATAATAATAATAATAATAATAATAATAATGAAAATAACTTTATTCATAGATTCAAAAAAAATAGACTATTTACAGATTCAAGAATATGAATATTAAAATATATACCCTATGTACATTCTTCTTGTGTACGAAAGAGAATTGTCGTAAAATGACTATCTAAAAAACTACTAATAACAATTATAAAAAGCATCAAAAAGTTAATAAAAAAAAAATAATAATAATAATAAAATAAAATAATAACAATAATAATAACAATAATAATAAGAAGAATGACAATGATAGTTAATTCGATTCCCTCCTCTCCTTGGACTAGTGGACGGGAGCGTGTATAAGACTGTAGTCCTGTTTAAGGAACAAGCTCTACAAGCACTAACTCTCATGTCCAGTCTTACCAACGTTCCCTTGAACCTGCATCATGAAACTTAACAAAACAAGAGCTGTGATCTGGGCGAAACATAGTAATTTTTCCATATCCTATCCACGAGTTGGTAGTATGTTGGTACACGACTAATAACGACTCGAAGGAAATGATGAACGGTTGTTTAGAATGTACGATTTTAAAGCCTTGCAATTCAGCTAATTGTGGTCGATTCGCTTGCTTTGCTGCTACACCGAGTTGATACCAAAAAGTTGAATCACGTAAAACACCTAAAAATTAACAAAATAATCATCAAAGCGACACAGGACGTACTGAATAACCGTAGAAATGTATTTATTGCTAAAATTATACTTTTTGGATTGTTGTCAACATTATAGATGTTTCTAAACCCGCGAACGGCATCAGTAAATTCCCTTTTTAATACCGTCGCTAGTTTGTTTCTAAATTATCATTCGTTCTTATATAATTATAGCTAGACAACACCTCATCATGATCAAATGATTTCAAAAAGCGTTAACAAGATATTTGCCTTGGATAGGACGTGCCTGAGAGTTGAGGAACCTCAGAAACAGGGCTACAGCTGCCCTACTTCCCGACACATCCCACTATTTGTGCTGGAGCATAAACGGAAGTGTCGTCACAAGCGGAAGTTTAAGGAAAGAAACCTTCTTTGTCCTATTTTAGTTAGGTTGCGACGTGAGTGTTTAAGTACCGATAAATGCAAGCACTAACGGATGCATTCATTATTATAAGGCCAAGAGAATTTAATGCTACCTTGGTGCAAATAAGTTTTAACTAGGAACACAGTTTCTAATTTCTGTTTTACCTTCCTTTGAGCTAGCTGCGCCCACAAGTCGGCAATTCCTGCCAGTCGTCATGTCAGGGAAATTCTATGAGAGGCTTCTCAGTTACCTGAGAGCGTACAAACTAAAGGACTTGACAAAACCAAATGATTATATGAATTATAATTTTGTGAAAGAAAAAAATACGTAGAGTACTTATTTTCTTAGCTCAGCCGACTGAACGACTGAACCTTCCCATTTTAGAGAAAATTTGAACCTTAAAATTTTCTTAAATTGTAAATTTTAAATAAATTCAAATGTGTGGAAAATGGGGTTGACTTGTCCGCACGACTCTTACCTCGTATTTTGAAGAAACTGAGGATAAGCTGAAAGGGGGAGGCATTCAGTTATACACTAACATCCAAGCATATATTAACTATTTTTTTGTGGTAATTTCTCTATGTCCCGTGTTGATTTCAGTCTGAACAACGTTGTCACGGTGTTTTAATTTAAGTTTTTCCCATTCTCACTGTTAATTTTCTGAAAAGAGAGAAAGAGAAATTAAAAAGAAGGTATTGAAGATGAGCGTTGCAGACAACCTGACTAGAGCGTCAACAAGAGGGGATCAACGCTCCCAATTCCATGTGAATGTGTGGACACATTATCAATTTATATAGCGAAGACCCGATAAAAAGTTATGGAGGAAGTAGATAAAATTCTAACGATTTCTCACTCACTCTTACAGTAATTTTTTATAGTTTTGCTAATCAAGTTATTATCAGTTTTCCTAGTGACAAGTTCACGCAATTATCTTCCATAGTCATCTCATAATGCCTTACTATACACGATCAGAATTCTGTTGGTTTTGTTGGGTAGCGTTACTTCTCTCGATCCCGCTACTTTAAAACAAAATAGGCTTTTGTGATCACGTCACGTGCCGCTAATTGAGAAAGGTTATCAATTCCGTTTCAACAAATACTTCAGTACTGAAGCTTTAAGCACGATCTGGAAGTGCCATTACCGTACAGCATACTTGCAATTGCTTCTAAAACCAGGCTGGTTAAAACTGATATTTGGATGATGGAAAAACGGTTGACATGTCTTGCTGAGATCACCGCTGTTCTCAGTTTGCTAGGACTCAGATTTCAAGTTCAAGGAAGTACTATCGGTTAGAGAAATTTCATATTTGTACTTTGAGTTTCACATTTATCCTCAGCGAGTACCATGCTGGCACCAATTGTGAACGCTGCCTCGAATAACTCTGATTTAAAGAAGAAGAAGAGGACGCTGCTAGGTTTACTTATCATTGTATCTTTTCTCAGTTACACTATATACTTTTCAATCATTTTAAAATGGTTACAGCATTTAACGTTATACAGACGAACGTTGAGCTCCGGTCTGAATTGGAGTTAGTGAATTCCGGCGTGTCTCTCTCTCTGGCGCCTGACAGCATGACTATTAATCTGGTAATCATTTAGTTTCCTTTTCTAACTAATTCTTTCTTTCATTTATTCCAGACACAAAGTGAAAGAGTCTACTCGTCCCTTACAGCTTGTGAATCAGTAAATAGTAACCTCAGTAGACCCTGCAATCAATCACGGATATATGTCAATCAAGGATTTCCTCCCGGTTTTTACAACAACTGATGTTTTAAGGCTTAGATCGATCTTAACCCTCTTGGAATAAATAAATAAATAATAACTGTTGTTGAGCTTTTGTTTACGTTTCAACAAGAAATGAATTTATTGTACGCAATTTATACGGTGCAATTTGGTAGAATTACCTATATTTTTAATAAGGACCCTTTTTGACCGTTTAGGCAGAGATAAATGAGAATTTAAGAGCATATTAAGAACATCATAACCTATCTCTCTTCTGTACAGTCCACTTTAGGCGACTGGAAAGGAAAGGAAGTAAGAACTAAATAAGCACGCGGAGAGTTAACAATGGAAAGACGCACTATTTCCCTAGCCATTTTCTGCGCCTCATGGAGTGTACATGACTTAAATTTCTAATTTCGCGAAAAGCAAGTACCAACAGACCTAATCCTCTTTGTGTATAATAATACCTTGCGAATCGCGTTAGGTATTGAAGTATTTCCTTTAGCTCTTTCGCGTCAACTGTGTTCAATAAATTATTGGCGAAGATCCATCTATCAACGAAGGTACTTACAAGGCTTGCATACTTGTGTCATTTATTTCAATTGTGACGTAAAGTCTACTATAGGAATCATGGCAAATGGCTCATGGCTCCCGTCCTTTTGTGCTTGTCCGCCTTCTTTTCTTGCTTTGTCATCGATGGTAATGGGAAAATAGCGCTTCTAACAAATGTCACAAGACTAACTTCAGCACCATGTTATATAGGAGGAGCCAATTCACAACAGTTTCCTTTTTTTCCTTTTTGGCATCAACGTCCTGTTTTGCTTTAAGATTAGATTGAGTTCAAAATAACTTTTTGGTTTTACTAGACTGTGGATATCGATCTCTTTAGCTCCGACAATTGTAAAACTTCCTTCATGGTTTCAGCGGTGAAATTGAACCCAAGGTTACGGGCCGTGAAAAACGGCTATGCGTAACATTTCAGGTCTGAGTAAACAACATCAATGTTTTAGCAGAGATGTTAGTGCAAGAGCTGAGGCACTACCTTAAAATACTGAGATGGACACCTTGGTAGTGGGGCTATTTTACTTCGATGTTGACTTATGGCGAACGGACGTTTGTCCTCGGTCCCAGGGTTTATATTTACAGTCTTTTGTCTACAAGTGCCGGGCAGTGCTGGTATCACGAGTAAGACAGCCTTTTTTCTTCTTATTTTACAATTATTATTATCTTTTTTCTTTTCAGAATATTCACGCAGCTTTATTTCATTTTATAATGCGTTTTGCTAGGCCTTGGTCACTGGACGAAAGATACGTGACTCAGAGATTAAATCTTCATAGCCCTGCCGAAAATTAACATTTCAGTAACTAAAACAATTCCACAATACCAAAATCTGCCTATGTCTTTTGGTTATCGATATCAGGCGCCAAAAATTATGGAGTCTACAAAATTCAAATAATTTCAACATTTAGCTCCTCACTCCTAACACACGTTGCTGTAATTTTCTCCCATAAAAGCTTTTGTTACTCTGACGTGGTTATTAAAAGCTTAACTCGCACAAATCAAGTCAAAGCAGCTCTTAGTTCGGTTATAGTGACGCAGGAGTATATAATTTGCAGTGATTTTGGTACAAATAAGGTTCTTAATCGTCGTTGGCGGTGTATTCTTTTTTGACGGATTATTCAGAACCTTACTGGAACGGCGACAGCAAGAAATGAATTAAATCAAACAAGAACGCTCTTAAAATCGGGTTTCATCTCACTTGCTTGGAGACTAGATAAGAAATGAGAAGGTGATTAATTCTGCAGGATACAGGATTTACTCGCTAAAGGTTTCTCACCTCCTACTTTATTTTATCGACGGTTGAGTTTTCAGGATATTTACTTTTTATATCGTATTAGATCGTATTTAGTACGCGTGTTAGCGACGACCTGAATTAGCTCTGCGGTCGCAGGCTATACAAGTGTATAGTTGCCTGCGTCGCAGTAGACTGCGAACAGTCTCTCTTTTTCTTCAGATTTAGTAAGAGGAGTGCACGCGCGCGCGAGACTGCTCGTAGTCTAGCGTCGCAGACGCTCTAAACATTGATAATAGAAAGACTGGTCTTTCTATTATCCATGTATAGAGCGTCTGCGAATTAGTGTACAATAGGGACTTTAAGATTCGCCACGGCAAGGGGCTACTACGGTTACATAAGGTCAAAATCACTTCCGGTGACGTCACCACGCGAGTTGCAGTACGGCTTTCCGGCCGTAGCCTCGTCATTTCTTTTCCATTTTGAAGCTTATTTCGCTTTTCTGTGAAGCCTACTTCAAAGACTAAGTACTTAGTCATACTTAGATATTCCTTAGGTATTATTGCTTCGTTATTTAAGCGAAAACTCAAAGGGTTTGGATACGTTATAATCATGGCTGCAGACATGAAAGCCTCGTAAGAGAGCTTATTCAAGGTGACTCGACCCAGTTTTTTTTGGGGGGTACCATCCTAGTTTGAAGCTCTCTGGTATCCCCACCTTTACTTTTATCGTAAGTCTAACACATAAAATGGATAACATATAGATCAATCTACAATATAACATAAAATTTTTGGCGATCGGAGTAAATGTCACGTGGTTATAATGCCACGCCCCTTTGAGGTCTGAGTCGAAAATCTGCTGTTGCCGGCATTTTTTCGTGAAAATCTCTCGGCTACACATAGTGCGCATTAGTGCCTTGCGCTGAACAGAGTTTCACCAAAATCGCAAAGACCCAATTCGAGAAATTCAGCGGTTTCCAAATTTAGGTCATAATTTATGCGAAAACGATAAGCAAACTTTACACGGATTATATCTAATAAACTATGAGATTCATCTCTTTATTTTGGGCATCGTTATAACAGATGGGTCCTTGCAAGTCAGCAAAACGCTTTAGGGCCTTGTAAGGATACCAGTAAAGGTGGGGATACCAGAGAGAACGAGCTTTTGCGCACTAATTCGCAGACAGACTATACAAATGGTTTAGACGAGTGCGTAGGCGGACTGCAACGCAGGCTAGTGTTTAGTTACCCGAAAATTCAAGGGCCTCGATTCGAGAGAAATCACATCATTACCAGAGATAGAAAAACGTGATGAGAACATGGCGCGTTATCATGAAAAACAAAAACAAGAACAAATCTTTCAAGATAATGTTTTTTTGTTATATCAATTACTTTAACGTGAAATAATTTATTTTTCTCTCAAGACCAGACGCTTCTTTACGGCTGTTCTCGGTACACATTTTATGCTGCATCTCAGAAGTCAGTTGATTTTGATAAGAGCAGAGACGCCTGCAAAGTTCACGGAAGTGACCTTGTGTCTATTGAAAGTAACGAGGAGTGGAACTTTCTCAAAGACACTTTAAACAAATTTCCACAGAATGGAACTGAATACTATATTGGTTTAACCAAAGACAAACACGGAAGATGGAGGTGGATCAGTAATAACACCACAGTGAATGAATCCTATTGGGCAAAAGGCCAACCTAGTGGGGATGAACAAAACCTTACAAAGTGTGCAATAATGTACAAAGATTTTAAAAAGAACTATGGTTTGTTCGATGATTTATCCTGTTCCCTTAAAAGGCATGGCTATATGTGTGAACGTGAGTACTATGCCATGTGGTTTTGATTACTAAAATACTCTGTTATATTTTTATTAAGTGTCGTGACAGCCGTTGTTACACAGCAGTTGTTGCATTTCTATACCGCAACTTAAATAGTGTAAAATATAAGAAACAATTATTTCATTCTATTCTATTATCAACTTTGTGTCATATTTTGCCAAGATGAAAAAGGTATCTGAAATAACAAATCAGTGCTACTGGAGTATATTGTTATTGGAGTATAGCAAACAACTACATATCATGATTTAAACACAACGTTGAAAACAGAACAACAGGAGTTCCAAGGACAAACTAATATCATATATAATGCCTTTGTAGAATTAATATTACATTATTTCAACGAAGCATTTTTAATTCTTACGTCCTATTTCATTTTTTTGTTTCGTCATACCTTTTCAGATGTTCTGAAAACAGCAAACTGTTTAACTGTTACTAAAACTGCACCATCTACAAAGGGTCTAACAAAAACTCCAAAAACAGGTAAGTTAAAATAGTTTTTATGACTTTGAGTTCAACAACTTTAATGTAATTTTCATTTTTCCTACTGGACGAAAAAAATGGATTTACTAGCCTGGGTAGCCAAATTACAGGAAATGTGCCAGTAGCAAGTACCACCTTTGCACAATTTTGCTCAAATTTGCGCAAGAGCAAAGACTGATATTGCACTAGATTTGCTATCCGTAGCAATGACGGTAAATGCCACATTTGCACAACATTTACTTCTTGCTGCAAAGATAATGGGCAGCCATGGATTTGAGGGTCATTTGCAGATGGTTCAAATGTGTAGGTAAATATATTTCTTTGAACTATATTTGCACATTATGCAAATGTTAGCGCAAACCTGTTGTTTTGCACAGCTTTTGCTTTAGATGTAAAAGTATGTATACCTGTTATTTTTAGAACGTTTACGCAGCTTTACAAATGTGAGCGAAGTATGTAATTTGAACAATGTTTGCTTGGGTTATCATAAATGATCAAATTTTCATAACTGAACCAGATTGCTTCGCATAGCAAATGTAACCAAACTCTTTGTATTAAACATGTTTGCTCACGAAGCAAATGTCAGCAAACCTAAACTTTAAGCAAATTTTCTAGGGTATGCAAATTTGATCAAATACAAAATTTTGCTTGTAGCGGCAAATGTGGTTAAAAGCCAAGGTTTGAACAAAGTCGCTTGGGCAGCAAATCTGATCAAACTGTTACTATTGTAAACTTTTTCGCTCCGGTGGCAAATGTAATCAAATTCTGACTTTGATTTGATTAGCAAATGTCATCAAACCCATAGAATTGAGCATGTTTTCTCAAGTAGCAAATGTGAATTCCAAGGTGTAAACGAGTTTGCTTGGGTTGTAGCAAATGGGATAAAACTTTCTAATTATTTTTAATTATAACAAAGCTCACTTCAGGTTCGTAACAAGTTGCCATTAACTTAAAATTTATAGCTTCAAACATTAAAGTTACTAAAGGAAATTCTAGCAGTGACCTCTCATTAAAGTTCAAATGATTCATTCCATAAACCCAAGTAGCTTACACATTATTATAGACTTTACAAACTACAGTATACATACAGCTCTTCATATTAATTCCCAATTTTACAGTTTGTTAACGTTTACTCGTCTCCACTCTATGCTCTATCAGATCATTTCTAACTGTTAATATTATAAGAAAAGTGTTCTTCATCTAAATCAGAGCTGATCATTTTTTCTCCTTGGTTATTTGAAATTGAAACCCTCTTAACCACTCAAAAGTTAAAGTAAGTAAGTCAATTAATTAATTAATATTAATGTTAATTATTAGTATTAATTATGAATATTAATTACTTATATTAATATTAAGTAATGAAGTAAATTAATTGATTAAATAATATTGCTCGTATTGTCTGTTCCATCAGACCAACCCAATGGCTTTTATCTCTAGCCTTAGGCCATTAGCAAATAAGCGACTCTCGCAGCGACTCTACGCTCGCTGCTCAATTTCATTGCTTTTCACAAAGAAGCTTCGCTTGGGTGGTTGAGTTTAATTCCAATTATGTTAGAGAATTGTCCTTGCTATTTTCTGCCATTGCCGGCAAATTTTTTGAACAGAAAGCACAGGAAATAATAACCTATCTTAGCACATCATAATTAAAGAGATTTTAATCCATGGTGGTTCGATAGGAATCAAAGCTAATCAAGATTAGGTCAGCCCGCGATCGAGCTTTGCGTGGCTTAATTAATTAATTAATTGCATTGTTTTTCTTTCAGTTAAGCCAGATGGCGAGAAAGCTTGTTCTTGTTACACTTTTGAAAGTGATCAATCAATGATGTGGCAGCATGCAAGGGCTTCTTGTAAATACAATAAGAAAGATCTCGTGGCCATGGAAACCGAAAGAGAGTGGCAGTTTATCACGAATGAGCTCAAGAATCGGACAACAAAAAAAAATCAGTGGCACATAGGGTTGTTTTGGAATCGAACAGTTAGTAACTGGACTTGGGTCAATGGTAAACCGCTGACTATAAAGAAATGGTTGGATTCTGAACCTAATAGAAACAGTTACTACGCCCTTATTGATAAAGAATGGCCCAGAGGTTCTTATGGAAAATTTGACAGCATAAGAGGGGACATAAAAAGAGCTTGGATATGCGAGGAGGAAACAGGTGTGAATATAATTTTTATTTTTTATTTTTAGATTGTTGTGGTCGAGTCAACTTCGCAAATCTATAAGTAAAGCATTGAAAAAACAAAAACAAAGCCATACGTGATGATAGGGTAAAAGGTCAACTTCCCCACTACGAGGCTCGGATGAGTAGGGGTAAAGAGAACATTATCTTCATTTACTGGTTCAATTCAGTGCTTCTGCAGGGGCCAATAGTCCGATCGATGATTTATTACGTAACTGTTAAGCAAAACAACAACAACAACAACAAAAAAGAACTGGCTAACCTTATTGAAGGGTGACTGACTTAATTATATGACAAACCGTCTGTCTAACTAATCAAATAAAATGTCGGTCTTGTTTGCTTGTCTGTCTGTCTGTTGGTTGGTCTGTCTGACTGTCTGTGTTCCTGCCGGCTGTATGACTAACTGATCGATTGAGAGTCGCTTTTGCAGAATGTGACTCCTAATTCAATAAAGGTTGCTTTGGCAATGGATCATTGGCAATTGGGCAAAGGGCATTTATTAATTATTTGGGCATGCAGAAGTGACCACAAAACAATCGCCTCATAGTGCACACTTTCCCAATACACTGCCCAAAGCATTACCTTCATAGAAGCAGGTAAGCATATGCCCGCAATAAATCTTTTCAGGTTTAAAAGCAATTTTCAGACTTTTTGACAGACAGACATTTTTAGTACAATCAGCATCAGTCCTGTCACTTAATAATACATTTGCAAGAATCACGCCCCACGCCTAACACAATTTCCATACACCATTCATCCCCCGGTGGGAATGCGTAACTGACCAAGCGACTTTCTTTTTTTCTTTCTCTCTCTCTCTCTCTTTCTTTCTTTTTTCTTTCTTTTTTTTTTAACGCCAGACACCTGTCAAGGGGTTTGTATGCGTCATTATCCGTCAGTAACAACGATAGTAACACCACGAGTAACCGCTGCCACTACGAAAGAAAGGACAAGTTTCAGCATAGCAGATCCTACTTATTTTTCTTCAGGTTTGCACGGTTATATAAATCTTAGAATCTTTTATTCGTTCAATTCGTTGCATGTCTGTCCAAGATTCATAAACACTTACTTCCAACTACCTGGCAAAAGCCTCTCGTGATAAAAACAGTAACAATTATAATAATAAAACAAAATAGATGGATGGATGAATGGATGGATGGATAGATAAACAACTTCATAGATAAAACAACTAAATAAATAGAACAAATAATTACTACAAATCAATTCACTAAAGTTAGTCTGAAAACATTTCAATGTGCCGCCGAAGGTCGGTAGTGTACATTGCTCTCAAGCCTTAACTATAAAATCCGAACGAAACTCCTAAATTAAGTCTTTGACGCACTCATGAGGTGATCATAGTTTTCTATTATGAGGTTTAATGCTGTAAATATAAGCCCTAGAAACCAACCAACTACTCAGACATTGACTATTCTGTTCTTCTTTTTCGACAGATTTTACGACTTTGGCCAGTCCGTCGAGTTCGAGTGAGCAAAAAACTGCCAAAAAAGACTTGACGTCCACACTTGTCATTGTAGCAGCGTCATTAGGAACAGCTCTATTCATCGCACTGATCGCACTTACATTTGCCCTTTTGGTTTTGCTAAGGCTAAGAAGGCAGCATAGTTCCAAAGGTACAAATGCTTTTCTCATAACATTTATTCTGTTTATAGGCTAAGCTAAACAATGACATCTCTCCACCACATTTTTCCATCGCGAAATAAACAGTCTCAATGTGTTGTGTTTCATTACTGAACGTTTTCCGAAATTTTTATTACCTTAATATCGCCTTACTTACAAATAGTCGCCGAATTCCAGATTCATAGTTGAAGGTCTATAAATCTTTTCATATCTTGTATATTACGGGAGTCCCCCCCCCCCCCCCCCGGGGTTTTCCCCCCATTTTTTCCTCTATTTTTCGGGATAACATGCAGATTCCCCCTTTTTTTTTTTTTTTTTTTTTTTTTTTTTTTTTTTTTTTTTTTACCAAAACAAAAAAATTAAAAAGAAAAAAAAAAAAAATAAAAAAGGTTTATTAAACAAAATTTTTAATTTTTTTATTTTTCTTGGGGGGGTGTGTTGGTTTGGGAAATCCCCCCAAATCCGGCAATTTAAAAAAAATGGACATCCCCCCCCCCCCCCCCCACGGGCATTTTGTCCCGCGAAAAAAAAAAGTTCATATTTTTTTGTTTTATTTCTTGAAGTTTTTCCAAAATTTTTTTACCTTTAAATCGCCTTACTTTCAAATAGTCGCCGAAATCCAAATTCATAGGTTAAGGTTTATAAAACTTTTTATATTTTTTTTATTACGGGGGTCCCCCCCCCCCCCCCGGGGTTTTGACCACAATGTTTGCTCCTAATTTGCGGAATAACATGCAGATATCCCTGTTTTTTTTTTTTCTTTCCTGTAGATTCAAGTAGTGAAAGTGCCGAAAGGTAGGCAAAGAACTGGTCAATAATCATATTGCGTTGTTGATTTATAAAAGTGGGCTTACTGCACTCTCTCTGTCGTCATTTTGAGAAAAAATTGTTTACAAACAAATTTGTCAGTATAGTTTCACTATACTCTGTTAAGAAGATTTATTATCGAGAAATTCCATGGACTAAAATGCTGCATTTTACGTTCAGGATTCAGCTTGAAAATCAGGGCAGCTCTTTGAGTGCAGCACAGTATACAGCCACAGAATCCAGCAGGAGGTCAGTTGAAAACGGAGATGGAAGGCATGAATTTGAAGCAACCACACGACAGCCTCCCCGGACGGATTGCGAATACACCATGTTGAGTCAGTGTACAATGGTAAGTCCAGTTTCTCGTGCCGAGGATTTACAACGTAAACGACAATACAAGGCATAAAGACGAAGGGTCTTTTAGGGTTATCGTTATATCTTTTCTGAGTTAGACGACATGGTCATCATTCATTTAATTGTTATAGCATTTAACCCTACTCGGACTGAACTTTTATTCTTACTTCTGGTCCTGCTGCCGGTAATGTGGGGGGAGGTGGGGGGAGCTTCGGAAGCCCTCCCTTTTTAACCTTAGACCCGGTCATAATAATGTGCTCGGCCTTTTAAACATTAAGGTAGAGTTTGATTGAGACAATAATGTATAATGTGCATGATGCCGTCATTAGGTTATATTATTAAAGTTATTGGCAGAACCCAAATTACATTTAACTCCAAAGTTTTGAGTACCTCAAAAATCCCGCCGGTCTGAATCCAAGTCGCGAATAATTCACCGCATACTAACTGGGTAGCGGTATGGCGGGCGGCCGGTGTGTTTCTTTGGCATTAGCTGACATATGTCTACCCTTTAACTGCTTTTTATCATCTGTTATTATTACATAAACTACACTTCATTTTTAACATTTCCTTTTGTACGTAATTTTTTCCTCCGTTAATTTTTCAGACACCAAGTGAAAGAGTCTACGCGTCTCTCACTACTGCTAGTGAATCACCGATATACGTCAATCAAATAGGATGAGCCTTTCCCCTTGGATTACAAAAACATAACACGGCTTAGTTTTTAACTCCTATAAAAAAATAGATAATAATGTTGAACTTTCGTTGGCGTTTCAACCCGAAAAGAATGTATAGTGTGCAATTTGTAACGCGCAATTGAGTCAGGGAGTACACTCGTTTTTATAAGAACCTTTTTTTAGTTGAACGTTCAGGCTGAGTTAACAAAAAAAAAAAGATAACTGGGAAAATACCCAGACTGAAAGTCAATTAGGAACGGGTATCTATCTCTTTTGCTGTATGCTCCTCTTTGTACCACTGGAAAGCTGCACGGAAAGGAAATGACAATTTAAGAAAAGCGCACAAATATGATTTATGACTGATCGCTCTTTATTTCTCTACTTGGCCCAGCAACTGAGTGTTTTCCATCGCTCTTCTTTTTCACTAATAACGCTTTTCCAAATGACCCTTCGCCGATTTTCTTCACCCGCACGTACCGATCCATCACTTCCGCTTGTGAGGAGGTCCAAACGTCTACTTTCCTCCAGTGAACGTTAACATTTTCTTCATATCTATAATGATGGGCTGAAACTAAAAAAAACTGAAAAAGTTTGTAAAATAGCGCCCGAAAAGAGAATTCTCGTTACTTGTGAGCCTGCGAGAAAGAAAGATTACACAGCGGCTTTTCATTGAAAGTTGATATTGAACTGGAACTGGACTATTCAATCAAGGATGCTGGATTTGAAATTCTTATTGAAGTAGGTGTCAAGGGATTAAATGATGTATACACCCTAAAAAATTACAATTTAACATTTCTCCATTTGCGCTACGTATTATCATAAAAGAGAAACGAATCCAAACTTGGCCTTATACATAAAAAAAAATCATTCGATAACAGTCAATCGTCTCTCACGTCACAACTTTAAAAGTCCGGGCAATATTGAGCCTGCCCGACAGCGCCGCCTTCTGCATTCTTTTTAACACTTCTTTACTTCTGCTCCCCACAATCTCGTACAATGTAGTGTCCATCTCCTGTGACCCCCCCCCCCTCCCCCAAGGACATCAATGATCTTATTATTATTATTATAATAACTATTATTATTAGAGGAGGAGAATGAACGCATTTTTTTCCCGACATCTGTAGAGTGGTATGTTTGCGTATTCTAGTTATCATTCGACTATTTCGTCCACGGCTTTCGCCATTTTCTTCTTCACCTGATCCCTTCTTCCCACTTTCGTCGCGAGAGCAAAACGCAAGTGACTAGTGACGAAGCGCAGGCTAGTATAGGCTAATCAGAAAAGTGTTTATATAGGACAGGAAATTCAGAACGGGAAGATAAGGCCATCTCGGGTAGCCAATGGTAAAACAGAATTCTCCACATCTTACCCGCTCATGGTCTTGTCATGGAGCCGGTGGTTTTCTAAACTCATCACCAGGTGATTTGGGAGTCAATCATTAGTCGATCAGCTCTGAGTATAATTTTATTTTAAAGCCGCACACAATTCTTTGCGCGCCTAGAGCTTGTTCGTACGAACCCAGGCACGAACCTGCAGCGTTGTCGCGTGGTGGAAAATGGTACCGTTGTTTACATTCGGAGAATTTTCCAGAGAAAGATTTGGCAGAGAGCGGAGCTAAGATTGACAACTGAGTCTTTTAATAACTGTTGACTTGTTAAAACGAAGAGCTAGAGAAGGATTGGATCTTACGGTAATCAATCTTACGACAGACGAGTGAGAGTTTTAATTGATCGACTTCTGTACTCTCTCGCGCATTAGTACAAAAGCCATACTCGGGCTGTCCTGTATTTGCAATTTAGCGACCAAACATCAAAAGGCATAGTTTGCAGCACTGCTTTGGAAAATCCCGCTAAAAATGTGCCACCCGCAGCGAGCGTTTGATCGAACTCAACTTTCCTCGTGCTCGCTAACACAATCAGAATATACAAAAAAAAAAAAAAAAAAAAAAACCTTA